TCTTTTGTACCGATAGTTCAAATTGACTAAATTTAGAATCCCCCCCCCCCGTTTCGTTTTTTTTTAGGGAAGAAGACGAAAAGATGACTGATAAATCGCCTAAATTCGCGTAAAGTGAAATAAACTTCAGTAATTTTCAAACATTTTTAAAAATCCGCAATTCTCAAATATCAAACATGGAAATTTTCAAACTACAGAGATTAAAAAACTAGGCTGAATGAACCGAAAAACAAAACTGCTAATTTTAGACTGCCTGAAGTAAAAGTACACACAAAAATTCGGCCTGCGTGAAAATTTCTGTAAGCGGCAATTTTCGCATTTTTTTTATCATTTATCAAAAATTTATCAAAAAAATTTATCAAGTTTGATTTATCAAAAAAAGAAAATTACAAGCCGTGATGTAACATACAGTTCACTTTCAATTGGGTAGGCCTTCTTTCGAATGACGTAAATTTCGTCAAATTCAATGTTGTAAGATCGCAGCACCGGCTCAATCATCGCCCGTAGCTGGTGCCCCTGCATATCCATTGGTAATGAACGCAGAGTTATCTGCAAAAATGCAAAATTAAACATACCACAAACGCACGTACTTTGATATCTTGCCTCAACCCCCTCCCCTCCCCTCTCCCCGCCCCCTCGTCCCCAACCCTGCTATTGACGTAGCCGGTGTAAAGTAAGTTTTTCATTTTTCTTTTTTTGGGCTTTTCGCATTCACTTAATTCCTACTAAGCGCAAAAGTGAAAATCAGAGCGATGCTGAGGAAAAAAGACTGTCTACACCCATAAATATATGTGGTGCAGGAGCCGCCGTAATTTTCATCTAACAAAATTGGCATTTTTCCAAGTTATTGCCAATTTCAAAAGCAAAAATTGTCTTTGCTTCAAATAAAACCTTTGAAAGTTCGTCGTTCTCGGCGCTCGCATCTCGATTCTGCAAAAACGATGAAATTATCTTAAGTATATCGAAAATATGAAAATTATTACAAACGCCCAAAATTTTTCGTAACAAGCTTATCATGAAAGGTCAAGTGTATATTCAAATAACCTCCCCCCCAGCCCCTCAGCTTTAAAAATTCTTCTCTGAGACAGAAATTACAGTCTGGGAATTGAAAACGGAAGGAGGGCAGAAGAACGAAGAATGCTTGGTGTACGACTGCATCTGGTAAAAGTGTTGCCGATATGACCCTTTATCGATATCAGCATTCCCACCCATAACTAACCATAATTACTGGAAGCTTAAAATAGCCAGATTTTTACTCATCCATTGATAGAGGTTAACCACGAACATTAACGGTCCCCTTTGGAGAATCGATGCGAAAAGCCAGTGTTAGTGGATATTACCGGAATGTTACCACCGGGTTGGGCGCAATAACTATTGCCAAGTTGCACAACAGACAGGCGGATCCAGGGCGATTTCCAGGAGGAGGAG